CCGCCGCTCCCTCGTTCGTCGTCATCGTCGTGCTCGGATTTGTGTTCTTCGCCTCATGAATCCTGTGCGATGCCGGGGAATCTCGTTTCAACGTCTCGACGATCGACATTGGGCTCTCTCGCAAATTGTCCGAATTCGTGGCGTGCGAATTAGGCGTGCCGTGCCTGACGAATGCGCTCCGATCGCTGCCGATCTTCTGGCTGAGCTCCAGGATAATCGGTGTGCTTCGAAAAGACTTGTAGTGATCTTGCGACTCGACCAGATTCTCATCCAAATCGCTCTTATCCAGCGAATCGTCGCTACCGGCCGTCGAGCTCGAGCTCGATTTCAGTTCCAGCTGACTCTGTGCGCCGTTTTGCTCCGACAGACGTTCAGCATCTAAAGGTCTGTAAAAATGAAATTATAAACTAATTATAGAATCATGCCTATAAAATAAATTATATATATTTTGTATCGTCAAATTCTGTCGAGATGGACTTACGCGAAGGATTGCATTCCATGCTGCAAGTGTAAGGTGGTCGCTTGATAGAGAGACGAATAAAAGCTTTGATTCCACGACGACGTGCCGGTATTGCCAGTGTTCGTAGAAATATGTAACGGTCCTAAAGCACCCGGATAGAATAATTGATAATCCGTTCTCATGAGTGCATCTGCAGAGAAAAAAATTGCTGTTATTGCTACAGTTTTTATGTTGCTTTGTATCTCTTAAAAAAATTTCTCCTTTATATAAATGAATATTATCGAAAATATATTTATCAAAAACTATACGAATAAGTATTCTTATACTCCGTGCTAACTTCACAGATCCACATACATTTCTGAAGTTAGTATGCCGTTCTCTTAATATAAAAAAATAATGACAGTTTCAGTAGCATTTTTCATAGATCTATAGTTCCATAGCAAAATAAAAAATAAAAAGTTTCGCATTTTTTATTATATGTCAAAAGATCAAAACTGAAAATATGGCGTGCTAACTTCGCGAATCTAATACGATATTTCTCCTCTAAAGTACAAAAAAAAATATTTGCACGTTTGGTTACAGTATTGATTGCTCTTTATTATGTATAATATATTCGTGTCGATTCAAAGCAATATTTTAACTAGACTCAGAGATTAACTTCTTTCAAAATATTAGAAAGAGAAATGTCACTAAACGAAATGATTTAAGAGAAAGATAAACGCGAAAGAGTCCGGACGCTTGTTTCGTAATTAGCTGCTCAAAGCCGGTAAATTGAGCACCGCTTCCAGCATCCAACGGCACAAATTACGAGGTAAATTTTCCGTTTCGACAGTATAGGCTTGCGTGTCTGTTGCCCTGCCTGGTCTGCGTGGCTTTTGCTGACGAGTCAATCACGGCAACGGGGTATCTCGAAAGATTTGCCCTCTTCGCCCCTTCCCACCCTCCCTCCCGCTTGTCATTCTCGCTATTCTTCTTCTTCAACGCGTTCACCGTCGCCGTTTTCGGACATTTATCGTCTTTCTTCTGGAAATGACCGCAAAAAAAATCCGTTGCCGCGAAGCGGCGATTCCACGCTAGGGACAGGTGTTTAAGGCGTTATTAGTTTGTAATGGTGCACTCGCAGCAACGCAACTGTATATAATCATTCACAAAGCTTCACAACAAAAATACACGCCCCTTGCTCGAGCTACGTCTTTTTCAATTCAGTTTAATAGCCGACAAATTTGCAAATCAACATTGCTGTCTAAAAACGCTAATGAAAGGATTATCTTGATTAGGGATCCTATAACAGAATCTGGCTACAAATGATTTTGTCAAAATCCTACGAAAGAGAAGGATTATATTAATAATTTCTCTCTGTATGTATGTTATCTTACTTTAACTTGCTCTAAGTTATACTGTTTCACTCTATAACTTTAATTAAGATTATACCTTTCTCTCTCGTAGGATTTTGACAAAATCGCTCGTGACCAGGCTCTGAGATAGGATCTCTAGTCTTGATCTCTTTGGTATCATTGCTAGTATCATTCTTTACCTCTAGCTCCAGCGTTCGACGGAATTTGCGACGTATAGCCACTGGATGCACCTCCCTCGATGGTAGGGATATCGGTATGAAGCCCACCACCTCTGAGAATACGATTAACCGATGATACGGAGGGTAAGCTCTGGGGATCACAAGCACCCTGTCGCGCGAGCTGTTCGCGGATCTCCCAGGCAAACATTGTCGGCTGCTCCTGCTTCATCCGTAAAATCTTTTTCACCACTGTCGGCGTAGCTACTTGCTGCAAGATAAGTAGAATATATTTATAAATAAATATATAGAGATATCTCATCTATCGTGCATTATTTTCTAATGACGGACTCTTTAATTACTTGAAATAATTTTTTTCTTAACAAAAATGTCAAGAGGAATCATTTATATTGCATTTTTAACTCTTTAATATTACATATTTCTTAATTAAATTTCAAATTAAATAATATTTTATTTTGAGGCAAATTTTAAAACTGTAAAATTGGTTGTAAAATGTAGTTTGATAAATTATTTATTTGTATGAAGTTTAATTCATAGAAAGCTTTTCTTTTTGTTATTTAGAGCTTGAAAATTATCGTTGCTTTGAAGTCATTGTTTTTGCTAAGGAAACATTGTCTATAAATTGACCAAAGAATCTAAAAAATAAATGCGCGAAAAGTGAAACGCGTATAAATTAGTACAAAACAATAGTGGAAATTCTAAGACAGTGAAATTCTAAGTCCAGCTTTATCAATTTTGTACGATATAAATACGTTACGTAACATTTTATTTCTCATTATATAGGAAAACATTTTTATCAATTTTAGAATTTGTGTCCACCTTTAAGGATATTTATCAGTAACAGGATGTCGTTGTTAATCATTCCGTCCTTTTTTGAAAGCCAAACCGCGTGCGTTATCTCATCGACAAATTAACACAACGCGGTCACACCATCGTTTCAACGGATCGCACACGCATATGTCGTTCACAGGTGAAAAGCACGACTGGGTCGTCAATCAGATAGCCAGGAGAGTCCGTCCGGTGCGGTGGGCGAAGGTACTACCTATTTTATTTCGGTTTAGCCCCCGTTCGCCAAAGAAACGGGTTGTCCAGTCGGTTGGTAACGTGCACCGGTGCCGTTGGCTGCCACGAGGCCCACCATCGGTCTCGCTTCTCCAAAAGGGGGCCCCAGTGGTGCTCAATCTGGCCGCGCGGCTAATTTGACTTGCTAATGAACGGTAATGGCACGCAGATAATTTTATGCTAACGCGATGGAAATATTATTCCGGCCGTACAGATTTTGAGATCGCCGATCTCTTTGGGGGCGATGTCAGGCGCGTTGGCGCGAGCGAGACGCACCAAGATCTCGTTCGAGAAAAGATGATCATCTTCACGGGTCCATGCCCGAACCCATGCGGGGGTTCGTACACGATTCATATATATATGTGTGCACGTATCGAGCGGAACGGTATCACCAAACCGGCTGTCGATTACCGGCACCGATCTCATTTCGCGAGAAGATCGATGCTTCGGCGTTCCGCGCGTCCATAATCTGTGCTCGGTCGCGTGGGCACGATACGATCTTCCTCGACAAATTGTTTCGAAAACGAACAGAATAAATATTGCGGTGCATCGATCGGACAACGATCGATACGATCGGCATAAAGGCAAACGGTTGGACAACGATTGATGTACTCGGCAAGGCCAAAAGAAATTATAAATCTTCAATTACAAGGCCGCCGTAAATTTTCTCACGCGATTGCTTATAATCAATTTTTTCTAAAAAATGTCATTGGTCAGATGTTGAAAATAAGTTTTAGTCGAGAGCAAGTCAAACTCGAAGACTCAATAAAGCATCCCTCTCTTGTTTCGAGTTTCGATATACTGAAAAAAAATCTAAATAAAAATATTAATAAAAATATTAAATAAATTTTAATAAATATTTTTGTTTGAATAATTCTAAATAAATATTTGCTAAATGTAAATATATTTATTGGATACAAAAACTATTAATTTAACCATCATATTTTCGTTAAGTAAATATTTATTTATTTATTGTATAAATAAATATTTACTAAATGATAAATCAATTTAGGCTCTAATGAGTAATATTAATAAAATTTAGTAGAAGCCTTCAAGAGCCAACACAAGTTATTGTATATGTGTATACAAATGTTCCTTATTATATTCAATCAACGCAAACATATAAATGTTTACTTACAATTAGTACTACTCAAAGAAATATGTATTAAGACAAAAGTAAATTTTTGTCCTCCGACGTGTAATAACAATGCAGTGAGATCAATCGTTTAAAATTGTCAAAATACAGAATTAATATGAAGTGCACAAGATGTCATTATCCGAAGTGCTCGCAGGTGAAAGCACCACTGGCAGGAACGTTTAGGGGCTAGTGCCTCAGGGGTAGCGAAGAGTCGAAGAGGGCCGCCTAATAGTTTGAGGGGGTTAGGACAAGCATCGCGTGCTCCCGGGAGCATCTCAGATTCTAATCTGACACTTCCGTCGTCGTCGTTGCCACAATTACCTACCCCTGCTACTCCGACAATAGATATACGGTGCGTCCTAATGCGGACCCTCACGTTGCCGTTCGAGCACATCGAAGCGCGGACACGCACGTGAGCATGCGTTATCCGAGTGTACGTGTACGTGAGCGCGCGTGTGTGCTGCCGTCGGAGGAAATTGGCTGGACAGAATGGACATCTGGCACTAAACGTTAGATAACCCGCATACACCGGGGCCGTGTACATACGAACAGGTTCACCAACTCGGTAATTATCGCGCGTAAGTTGCGCGCCCCGCTACATGCGCCCCGAATGCCCCGAATGCCCCGAATGCCCCGAGTGCTCGTCAATGATAAGGGCAACGACGACCGTCGACACCTTTCGCCCCATTTTTTCCCATGCTATACCTGGACGCGCCAGGATCGTTGGAAACGAGAGGCGATTGATTTGTCATCCGAAAAGTGAAATAAAAGCGAAGGAAGTACGAAAAAAGATGAAAATAGCGCGTCGAAAGAACAGTTTTGCTAAAATATCTAAAAATTTAGACAAAGTTTCGAAAATAATTTTGTTGGTCATTAAAATAATCATATAGAAAACTGAAATTAATACATATCACAATAATAATGATTAATTCGACGCGCCCTTGTTTTTTATTATTAGGAAACTCAAGCATGATGAGAGCAATGCTGCAAAAAATTTTTATATTCTAGCAATCAGTTTAAACATCCTGTCTAATTATTTCGATAGCCTAAAATAATTATTTTCCGATATGTATAAATATCTCTGCAAAACCGTTCTTTCTTTCTAAATTAACCTTCCAAACGCTGTCGACTGAGGGAACTCCCGTTTAAAACAAGACTTCATGTTCGCGTCATGGGAACAAAACGCGATTCGCTCTTATTTGTCGCGGTGTTTCAAACGCTGTTAAATCATGCATCGGGAAAATAAATACATGTCCACGAGGAGGGACAGTCAGATACGCGCATATTTCCGTCAAGACCACGAGCGAGATCTTAATTACCAGATAAACGGCAAAAACGTCCGATCGTCGAGTGTGAACCGTACACGAATAAAATAAATATTCCGTCGGGGTCGAAGCCGTGACAATAATCATTTCCAGATAAGAGTGGAATTCCATCAACGGTTTCGAGAAACCCGTGAGATCGCTATCGAATCCGAAGAGTAAAGAGAGCTAAAACGTCACCACGAGGATGTACTTTGTCGTCGTATCATCCAGTTGTTATATATGAGAGAGAGAAAACTTTGAACGCATTGCGCGTACGTGGAGAACGAAGCGGATCGCGGCGATTTTTTCCTTGATGTTCCACTTTATTATCCGCGGCTGCTACGCGGCCTGTGCATTTTTCATGAGACAATTTTCTCTGTCGTGCCGCCGGCTTATTATCCGACGCGTATCACGTTGATGCGCACGCGTGTATGAGAGAGAGAGAGAGAGAAACAGAGAGAAGTAACGGAGAGAGCATGTGAACATGTCTCGAAAATATTACGTACCACACCCGAGTACACGTGTAGATTCGCCGATAGTCGGTCGATTAATTTCGCGAGATCGCACGCTAAATTGCACCGCACGATGCAACGACGAGACGGAGAGAGACTGGATCGCGCACCACTGGAATTAATCTTTCACTCTCGAGAGAGTGCGAATTTAATTAAACACTGCTATTGGATCTTACTGCAAACATGCGTAAGTCGCCCGAGGTGGGGACTTAATACAAGATACCTGGGGGCCTATTTTTGAATACATAACGTATACTATAGAATTTTCGTACGTGATATTTTTGAGGAATAAGCCCCTGTGAGCTCGCAGTTTTACACCAAATTCGCGTATGGGAAGATCATCTGTGACCGAAGGGCACAGATCGTGGAATACGCGCGCCGAGGAGGGCGCGGAAAGTCGTAATAACAGAGTTAAAATGGAGAGCAACGTTATCTCGACGAGGCACCGTCTTCATCTTTCGTTACTCAGCAGGAAAATCGGAGCATTCTCCTCCAATGGAAATTGGGAGGGAGGGAAAGAACGGGGGGGGGGGGGGGGGTTAAATGCCGGTTCTCGAGGGCCCGACGAGTTAATACTGCCAGGCAATCAAAGGGTTTACCTAGTAGCCATTATTTAATTATCGGCATAATTTTAAATTGCTGTGAAAGCCACTTACAGACAGGAATAGTGACGAGCCACCGACTCGGCATGTTATCTAAGGATCTCCTCGAGAAAGAAGATCCTTTATGCACACGATGGTGGGCGGGCAAAGATATGGTTGCGCGTGCAAGACGAGCGACTTGATCCTTCGTGCATGCTCGCTTCCCCCAAAGGGGGGCTCGTATGTCTTCCTAATTTCTCACCCAAATTACCAAACGTTGCCGTTTACTTGTCGTAAAGATCGACGAAAAGAAAAAGCGACGAATTCGGCCGATCACGTAGATCGCGGTTAAAAAAGATTTCAGGACTAAGCTGTATTAAGCGCGCAACCATTACTTCGCCACGGGACTATTTTGACATACGTGAAATAAAACGAACGCTGGTAATGGCAGATGATGACTATCGTTTACATGCGCGCGTAATCGGCCCCCTTCCTCGTATTACAGCCGGAATTTAAATGTCCTCTTCAGAATTTTAAGAGCTCTCTCTCTCTCTCTCTCTCTCTCTCTCTAATTTTTCTGCATATGTTTAAAATTCTACCTTACTTTTCTTTTGTCTATAATTTTGTTCATTATGTATCATTTCTTTATTTTTTTTTTCATATCTGTATTTTATTTTGTGTCACCGTTTTTCATTTCATTTCCTTTTTAGTCGTCATTTTTATATTCTTATTAGAGGACTGGTCCTACAATATTAATAAACACCTTTATCTATTCCTATCTTTATTTCGACCCTTTCGTTTCATTCTCTTTCATCGGCGTACCAAACTCCAGTTCGCAACTTAAGGAAGGTCGATGCACGCCGACGCGGCGTTATTAAAATAAATTCATTAAGCACAGAGTAACAGTCCGCGGTCGGCGCATCGTAAGAAATTCTCAGTGCATAATGCGTGTACGCACCGTGCAATTATACTGTCATTAGCAGCATGTGTGCGCGATACCGCGAGCGTCGGTGCAGCTTCGCGATGCGCACCCGGGGGGCGAAATGGCGTTTCCGAGTCAGACGTGAGTGCGTTATGCGATAAAAACTTGCGTCTTGTCGTTAAGCTTCATGAATCTGATTACGATCGAACGATAGAAAAGTCAGGGTGTCCACGATTTCGCGAAATCGATTTCGATTACGAGATGTAATTTCCTTCCGCGACGTCGGCGTGATAAAAGCGGCGGTTTTCTCTTTAATGCCGATCGATTAATTCGTAGCGCGACGTCGGGACATCACTCAATATCAGCAAGAAAAGCGTGCAAAGCCATAAAATTATGCAAATGCTGATTATGTGCGCTGCAAAGTGTTTGGATAATTGCACGCACGGTCAAAACGCAGCCCTTACTTAAAATCACATCAGGAATGCCTGACTTTGTACGTGCAGGGAGAGGTCTCATCAGAGCCACCGCCCGCTAAGGCACGCTGATGCGTGATCGTTCGTTTTAACGTGTTTTTGCGAACCACCGACATCAATCTTTTCTTGAATCTTACCCTCACAGCGCATTTTATGCCAAACGTCTGTAATCCTCATATCATTTTTATTCTGATTAAATTTTCTTTAAGAAAAATTTCGCAAGTTTATTAAACAATAATCTTGTCTTGTGAAATATTTGAATATATACATTTTTAGTAAATCACCAAAAAATTTGACATTTAAAATACTTCATACTTTATTCTAATATTTTTACGTGAAATATAAAATATTTTTATTTTTATACATTTGCAATAATAATAGCAATAAAATGATTCCTCGCGCGCGATATAAAAAATTCCATAACTACAACTAAAAAGGCGTACGATTGTACATTCTGTATACAAAAAAAAAAATGATTTTGCTGAAATGTCTAAAAATTTAGATAGATACAGATCTGAAAATAATTTTGTAGAAAATTCAAGCATGTTAAGCAATGCTGTAAGAAGTTTTAACATTCTAGAACTCGAGCGTCTACATAATTATTTTGACAGTCCAACAAAATTTATTTTCAGATCTGTATCTAAAATAGTTGAATCTCGAAATATTTCAACAGAACCGTTCTTGCGATGTAGATATTAAAATCACGGATTACGATCAAATCTTACCTTCGTCTTGCTTCCACCGATGCTGCCAGGTCGGATGCTTCCCGTCTCGTAGAATCTCGTGAGTATCTTGGAGACGCAGCCATGGGACACGAGTAGCTGTCGAGAAATATCGCACGGCCTGACGCCGACCATGGCGAGTTGCACGATTCTCTGGCGCACGCAGTCTGGCAACGGCCTGCCGTTCACAAAGACGCCGCCTAATTGATTCACTCCGGCTTGCCCTGGAAGAACAATCAGTCAGTCAGTCAGTCGCGTTATTGTGTTAATGGGCGACATAACGATGGTGCGATAAGTCGGCCTGAATCGCCGGGTAGCGATTCAAGATTTCGCGTTGAACGGCAAAAGGTGTTTATCGATTCAGAGGAGGACAGTCGGAAATCTGCTAATAATGCGCTCGCGGTCGTCCGGGAAGGTCGGCAGGTGCATCCTGTGACGTGCGGTCCTGGCTTGGCCCTCTAATGACATTGTTACGACGAATATCACGGAAAGAACCTTCCCTCCCTGCCTTTTTGTCCGGCAAAGACATGTCATTATTTTCAGTAATATTAGGAAGATCGTGTAGCGTTCGCAACGAAATCCCGACGTCTATACTCGAAGGTCGTTTGCAATTAACGATAGAATCTAGTAATTATTTTGTTTGGTTTTATGCAACAAAAATATTATAATTAAACGTTCGTTAAAATGCATGCCACGATTATTTTGTTTCGACACTGCTAGGAGACGTCTTTCACGAAATACTAAATTTATTTCGTGCGAGAGAAGAGACGCTATAAATTATTGTACTTCCTGTTTATGCGAATCGTTATTTTATTCCTTTCACCGAAGTTTAGTCAAAACTTCCTCAAGTTTTAAATAAGTAATTAGGTGATACTTCATTATAAAACAACTTTCTGTTCATTAAAATTTGAAGACTTTAAAATGTCGTATGTTAAAACGTAAAGATGGAACTGATAAAAAAGATTAACATAATTCGAAAATTCGGGATGAAGTTTAGACCCATCGGTGAAGCGTAAAAGTTAATTGGGATGAAACGTTAAGACGAGGACCAGTCTTCGCAAATGGTCGTTTTAGAAATTTTGTTTTTTTTCCTTTTTAATATCCATATTCATAAAACGTGTAATCGCGTAATTTTCATATTCAGCAGCGCGTGAATATGAAATACACAATGTGTCGCGGACTTAAATCACGGCAAACGACAAGTTATTTACGCATTGCATGCGCGACACGTCGTACAGCCGACGCAGCACTTGTCGAAAATTTTATAAAACCGATATTATTCCCCCGCAGTGGTGTCGTAAAACCATAATGACCGTCTCGCCGTGAGCGAATAAAAACGTCAATTGATCACCAATTTTATGTTCCGCCGTCGAAAATGGACGGCTTAAACGATCCGCAACCTAACGCGCGCATTAAAGCGTCGAATAAAATCTGAGTTATATATATGATAGTTTTCCGTTTGTCTTCTCACGAGACATTAGACGTTGATTAGAAGTTCGGAAAGACTACAGAACAGGCTCGCTATTGTATTAAAACTGCATCATAAATCCTCGATCAGCTTATTTCACACTCGAAGAATCCTCGGATCGTCTCGAAACGATGTCGACAAAGTTAACGGCACAACTATTACAGACGGCTCGAAATTTCATGGAAATCTCTGTCGCTTAATATTCAGTTTACTATTCCAAGTTGAATTTTAGTCTTAAATATGCACCAACAACTTTCGGCAGCGTGAAATTCGGATTCGAAGAAAAACACTCTTGCGTGTCTTAATTAATCTGTCGTCATGCCAGAGAGTAACCACATGAAATGTACGACACATTTTCGTAATTATAATTACATTTTAATAAGGTAACCCTATCATGATATAAATTAGAAATCTTTAGCCATAATGATATTGTTGCAATAATTGTTGCAATACAGGCAGAGAGGAGGGAGACCTAAGGATGTAAGCAATCTGGCCCGGTTGCGGTTCTGCATCGGCGCTCCGATGAAGATAATTGTCGGTCATATGAGTTTAACGAATAATAACTTGCCGCGTAATGGGAATAATCGGTTTTATTCCCCGGCGATTATTATCGACGTAACTGGAACCAAGAAAAAGAAAGAGAAGGGCCTCACGCAGAAGCGGCGTAACTAACGACGGCCTCTCCTTCGTGAAAGAAACTATAAAAGGGCGAAAAAGATCAAAAGCATAAATGCCATGGGCGACTTATATAAATCGAGCCACGCGCCTTCACGTAGACCCGTCCGGATGCACGTACGACCGTGCGTACCCAGGACGATCGCTAATTATTATCCGCGCCGACTAATTATGTCATTACCACGATCACTGACGCCGACGGACCTCCAAACCAGCTTGAGAAATAATGATCTCTCGAGCGGCCCCGCGTATTCGAGCTAAAGAAAAGATTTTCGTCAATCTCTTTTCCACCGGCATTACTCCTCGAATTCCTCGAATCTTTATTTGGAGTTTTGCGTTTTACGGGCTAATTGACAAGACGATCCCGATCACTCCTGTGATTCTCGTACTTCCCCGAACGAGCTTCCACGCTCTGGGAAGCAAATGATCAACGCGATTACGCTTGTGATGCCGAGTTTTTTATATATCTCTGAGATTTTATATCTGGGATAATTCCTAATAATTTTCCTTCCTAATAGATTATATATATATATATATATAATATATGTATACATGTATGTACGACTTTTAAATTGGGAGATAAAAATCTCTTCCAATTAATGCGCCCATTAGCCGTTTATTCGTGTAAGCGCGATCTGCGAAAGAGCCATTACACGTCCCGGCCGAAATTACGAAATGCTTCTACAATTTCATGACGTCCTCGCGAGAGTGAGAACGGACGTGACACTCACAGTGGCGAGCTCGCACGAAGTGGGAATTGCTGATAATGACCATCGGTCGAAGGCGTGACGGATTGTCCTTATTGGATAATTTAAGGGTCTTTCGATTGGTGACAGGAACACACAGCCGGTAAGACTCATTTTCGGAGAAATTACTTTTTGGAGAAATTACTTCCGGGGAATGTGCGTCTCGCGTGCTCGCATGTGCCTTATTCATTAGCGGCTATATTGAACTCGCACATACTCGATACATGTCACGAACGGTGGACTTTCTTTACCAATAAATAAATAAATTAATTAATGAACGGCTCGTTTCTATTGTGTATACGTTATGAATTTTATCATTTGACCCGTGTATTGTAATTTAATTTTTAATTAGTATACGCGCAAATTCCAACATGTAGGTTAATATTAGGTGTTAAACTTAATTCCTGCCGTTTGTCGTCTCCAAAATTGATTTGTTTCGAAGGGAAGATGAATGAATACCTTAATCAAAGTAATTTCCTCCATTTTCTACTTTATTACTAATTAATAATATTTTATTAATAATACTTTGATTAAGGTATTTCCCTGCGAAACAAATCAATTTTGGAGACGAAAAACGGCAGGAATTAAGTTTAACACCTATTACATAACCATTGTACATCAGTAACTTATCATTGTTATAAATACATATATTATTTTGGCTCGTAGCTCCTGTATTTTAATTTGAATTTTTATCAATTGAGCCACTTATTATAATATTTAAATAAATGAAGAATTAAAGAAATAAATTTTGACAAATTTATTAACTTTGGACTCGACGCATATCGCTAAATAAACGTTTGTTCAACCATTTTTATGTAATTGATTAATTATCATCTATCCCTTAATGTGCCCTTCATTCGTTCTGCCGGGCACACTAATCTGTGATGCGTTTGCACCGAAAATTATACACGCTACGGCATTTCGGACAACGGGGAACGGACGACAACGTGCAAGCGACGGACACCGTTGCAGCGGGCCAAATTATTATTACGGCAAAAACAGGCCAAAATGGCATCTTTATCTAACTGCAAATCTGCCGGTGGATCCGCGAAATAATGGAATCGCGCAGTAACGGGCGGTGGTTCTGGTTGCACTGCGCATCATAAACAGCACTGGAACCACTCGTTTACGTGAGATAAAAAGCGCAAGCACGGAAATCGAAATAGCGGAAACGCACGATTTGTAAAGAGGCTAAAGCGAAAAGGCGAACAAGATGGAATTGGCAGAAAAAGCTATTCAGAACTACGTTATAGACTGCTACGCGAACGTAATCGCGTTTAAAATAACTGTTATCTTTAATAACGGCATGGGATGTTAATAAAGGCGCCTTTGCAATAATTAAAGACGCGATAAACCGCGGGCTTCTCGTAAACGCAGATTGAATGTGCAGACGATCTAGTTTATTAAATAGATACTACACGCTGTATTAAATGCGCAACTTTTCCAGTGATGAGCACTTTAAGTGCACTTTCCGTCTGCGGAATAACCATTGGATTTTTCAAATATTATCTTGTTCTTTTCATCTAATTATTGCCTAGATCGTTATACCTAGTTTATTTCACGCGGAAAGAACGGTTTTACTCAAGTATCTAAAAATTTAATTAGCTGTAGATCTGAAAGTAATGTTGTTAAATTATCCAAATAATTATGTAAGACACGTTACTATCTAAGAAGCTAATTGTTAGAATATCAAAATTATTTACAGTGTTGTTCATCATGTTTGAATTTCTCTACTTTATTATTTTAACGGTTCAATAAAATTATTTTTAAATCTGTATTTAGATAAATTTTTAGACATTTCAATAAAATCGTTCTTTCCATGTAAGCAAAATGTTTGCAAGTATCTTTTACAGTTTCGGATTATAAATTTAAAATTTGGATTTTTCAGATTATTTAAGATTTTAAAAGAATATTGTCGCAATGCAAAATACATTTATGAGGATCGTTTTTTTCTAAAACGTCAATTTATCAGATGCGATCTTGATTGAATTTTTAGTCGATATTGTAGAGATTTCATTTATAGAGATGTCAATTTAGATTAAAAGGACGTTGTTGTTTAAATAAAACTGCCATTATATAAAATATACATAATTCTCCATAAATTTATCGTAAAAGAATTCAATATTTTTTCCTCCGCGCTTTGACCATGACTTTTGATCGTTAATGACCATTATCGAGTAAATGCATAGGCAGCTCATTAAGCAACAGTAATTACGAAGAAATAATACGTATGAAATTTCTTGTTATTTAATCATACATGCCATAAACTTTCATCACGATTAAATTATTTTATGTAATCGGTTCTCAAAAAAAAAAATTAATTTTTTAATACTATAATACTATTTCATAAAGTAATTTAAAAATATTTAAAAATTTAGAAGTTATTTTAGAAATTTATATTATGTATTCTTACGAGAGAGAGAGAGAGAGAGAGAGAGAGAGAGAGAAAGTATCAATCTATATATATTTTATGTATCGATACTCTCCTCTCTTTTTCTGCTTTTTTTGACAAGTTGAAAAAATTTTATGGACCTGTTAGTAATTATCGGCCAATTTCCAGAGTAACTATATATTTTAGAGATAATAATTTTATAGGATATCGATATATTTTTATCTCCTTTTATATTTATATTCTCTTTCTGTTTATATTTCCTTAATAAAATGCAAATTGTCGAACTACGAGTGCAAGATTCTTTGACGAATGCATGTAGGGCTATCTCTCGTGATATAATACTGACTAAGCTTAGAATTAGCCGGCTAATGCAATCACCAGCAACGATCGCTATCGCACTGGCCATTTAGGCCCTAACCAAACTCTACACCTGCCTACCTGTAATCACGATCCGCGTCCATGCTAACAGATTTTTTTCTCTCTGACGAGAGCGAGAGAACATCGTATTGAGAATCACGATTTGCCAACTCGATGCCAACTCGAATTGGCACGCATCGGTCACCGTTCAACTCGTTCTCACTATCGGCTCCGTCATCATCTGTCTTAAAAGAACACATGCGGGAGATAGCCTTAAATGGAAGTGCATCAAGATGGATATCACGGTGGCTGTTATTAAGTGCTTATCGATTCAATGATTATCCACGACTTGAATGTTGTTGATAATTAAGAAGTAACATATGTAACATGATCTCGTTAATAATTAAAAGTACATTGAATCTGCAAAATGCATTGAGTCTTGATAATATCGTCCAATCAAATATAGTCTCTATAATCTACATAATTTTTCGATGTAATAACGTACTTTCAGTATAAAGACAACCCGCATATAATTTGTACGGCAAAATCGTTAAGCATGTCGAAAGTTTTTTACGATTTCATTACATTCGTTGGCGCAAACCTTAACAAAAATAAAAATCGGAGAGTAAATCGAACACAAGAAGAGAGTAATAGAAGCGTGAATGTAGCATCTAGAAAGCGAAAATTGTAACAATGAAACGTAAAAGAGGTGTTTAACGCCTCCTATAATTTCGTTTACTTTTCTATTACACTCTCATCTTACATTCGACTTACACTCCGATTTTTATTTTTGCCAGAAGAATGATTTAGGAAAGTTGTTAGGGACTGTCAGCAAAACATTATGCTAAGTAAATTATTTGGTCAACAAGACACATTGGCGAAATTAATCACAATATTAATAATTCCAATTCGAAAGACCGTGATAACCGGAACGGAGAATACTTTTTCTAGTTTTTTCAAAGACTTCTTGCAGTTGCAACGCCGGAAGAGCGAAAGATTGATCGTTCGATCGGGATCCGGGCAGGATTCTTTACACGGGCATCAGGCCAGCGTAGCGAGGATGGAAACAGAGAGGAGAGACGGTAGATTATAATTATACTCGTTTAATAATAGGCCTATAGATGTCGGCGTTCGATCCATGGTATAAAATTCTTCGTTAATTACTGTCAAACTGCCTTTCAAAGCGTAATTTAGCCTTGAGCCAGGAGAGAAGGAGGACTCTCTTCTATAGAAGAAGAAAAGGAAGGCAGAAATTTTTATTTTCATCACCGATTTCAACCTGTGATCTCGCCGACGCGACGCGACGGTAGCTGACCCCGTCCTGGAGAAATCATAACGACGTGTTACATTCCCTCTCGAATGTATCAGGAAGCGAAGCCGACCGAATCGCGCGGTGAGATTGGCTATTTAGCAAACTGGCTGCTGTATGCGATGAGCGGACGCAACATCTTTTTAAGAATTAGCATTGTAAAACGATTTAACGATTTAATCCTTTAATCGCTACTTTCTCAACATTCCCAACAAAATGCATTACGATTAATATTATCTAAGTCTGTTAATATTAAATAATGCTGTCATAGAAACTTGATTATTTATTGAAAATTGTTCATGATTTTATTATAGAATTTTTAATGCCCCAGGTAGATCCCACAAATTGTGATTTTAATGATAGATTCTTCAATAGTTTATATGGATTCGATTTTTCTCAGCGAAAATATCGCGACATCGATAATCTTTTAGCAATAAGCTATTGAAGAAAAAAAATTGCTTTTTACAAATTAAATTTTTAAAGACATAAATAGATAGAGAATTATTCTATTCTTCAATTAAAACAAAAGTGAGCTTTTTACTTTAATAGAATCTCCATTTGAAGTTTAATTCAATTAGAAAGTTGCGATAAATCACGATCTCCTTCGACATTTTTGTCAAGAAAAGATCGATTCCAAATTGATCAGGGAAGTAGTCGTAGAAACTTATAATTTCAGACAGACGCGTATATCCCACAAATCGCGACTTTGATGATGGTTCTTTATATGGATTTGGTTTGTATGAACTCGATTTTCCTTCAGCTATAAATACTTAGACATCAATAATTTTCGAATAAGCGATTCGAAAGACAGCAAGTTATTATATTCTTACAGAAAGCGAATTAACAGAAATGGACTTTTTACTTTTATAGAATCACTGTTTGAAGTTTCGCGAGCTGTGGGATATCTTGTGAACGGTATGCGTTCCAGTCAGAGAAAGAATGAAACCTCAATCTGAAAAAAACCTGAGAAGAGCAAGCGTCTACTCACCAGTGTGCGGCATGGCGACGAGTGATCACGTGCCGTATCTGAAACAGAGCAAGTCTTTTAAGACTTTAACGGCAAACTGCAAATCGTACGGTGTGTACAACGTGAAACGTAGTGCGCATCGCCGTATTAGAGCCTTCAGAGTGGCGTATCGCGAGCACCATGCGCGCCCGTATATGCGTGTTTCTTACCGCGCGACGTATTATAGAGTATAGCAGGAGTATAGCCTTCGCCGTTAATGAATTTAAATGTATTCAAAGGGCGCGCTTGACGCTTGACATGGCAACCCTTAAATATGCAACCGTACCGATAAGGCAAAGCGCGGCAAAATATTGCCGCCGGTAGCCGCAAACCGTGACTCTCATTCCCGAACCGATCGCGACGAGATCACGGCGACGACGACGACGACGACGACGGGGCTGCTCTCCGAGCAGTGCCAACAACTTCACTTTCATATTTCAGTTTTTACGTTAATTACATAAATTACACCGCATTGCGCACGAAATTCTGGATCGTCGTTCGGTAGTCGAGATCTCTTCCTATAATTACTCATCAGCCGATCCCTGACATTTCCACGTTTAACATGGGATTAAAACGATGTCTCATGGTTGTCGCGGACGTCCAAGAAATCACGATTTGAGAACTCGCTCCGGACAGAAAGAAGAAGGAGCGAGCGGAAAACTACGTGGAATGCGTGCGTAGCGTAGCGGGTGGCGTGTACTTTGTGATGCAAATTAATGCACGATTACCGAAACACCCCTCGCCCACCCTTGCACGACCACCGGTGACTCCTTACCCTCGTAGTTACCCTTGCTTCCCTTCGCGCAGGTGTATGTGGCATGTACGAGTGTGTGGCACAGCGGGGACGTGTTTCGAGGTATATAAGTGTAATAAGTACGATCCGCCTCCACCCCCGTGACTCGATGCTTACCCCGGCATTAGGCCTGGTTACACGCTCTCGCCCCCTTCTCTTCAGGTTCTAATCTGATGTAACTATTACATACGTTACGCGGTATCCATATAGTCGAAATGGCTATGCGCCGCGTGGAGTCTTGATGAAAACTCATTTCTTCATGCCCAACCATCATCCACCGTGTCCTCGTAACGATATATATACTCCACTTTACAACCGACCGTTCATTTATACTCTTCGATCCAGAGAACACCGTTCTTTTTTCGCGCCCAAAAGACATGCTCGGAAAAATATCCAGGCAACGAAAGTCCAAAATTGGGACGTAAGACGTCTTAAAGGCATTTAAAAGATGTCTTTCAGACGGATGTTGTGGAAATGTCCACTAAAGAGGCCTGACTCGAAGCTTTGTGGTCGACCGCAGCGTTTCGTCCTGGTCCCACACTCTACTAGACTCATCAGTAAGGCGATGTAGGGTGGGACTTGCCTTAGACGCCTGGAATGAATCCAGAATGATATTCTATTTAAAGGGAATTCGCGCGGCGCGGTGCTTACGCGAACCGAGTGAGTCCCGTGGACCTCTAGTGGCGAGTCGCCACACTGTCTAAAAGACGTTTTTAACACGTTCTTTTCGATTTTGGACTTTGTGTTGTCTAGGTAATTTCTAATCTCCGTTTCTCATTGATTCCCTTCGTACATATTTTTCTCCTTAAATGTAAAACCAGTTCATAAAATCCGGCCACGCGAAGCAACGAGACTTCGGCTTCTATACGAAAAAAGCGGATTGCACATGTATTGCAGCTCGAAGGGCTACTAAATTCCGCGCAGCGATTTCAAGGTGTCAAGTTTTACTTGTTAAAGATATACGGTCTACGATCGCGTCTCGATTCTCGACGACGAGCGGCGAAGAATGCATGAGCTTTTTGTCACGAGACGGGATTACTTTCGTCCTGACGGCGACGTTCGCCGGGCAGTCTCGTTGGTCCGCGTCCCGCAGGGATGAAGTCTCCCGTAATGAGGATTGAGCGATTATTATAAATCAAACGAACCGGAGGCCACGGTAAGCGTCGCGTTTCTCGCGTGCCACGTGTTTTGCCGATGTTACTCTTACAAACACGTGTTCCGCCCTCTTACCTTTTTCCCTTTCCTTGCTCTCTTCGCTGAACGCATGCAAACGTTGCACGTTGCATTTTCGCAACCTGCATATTTAAATAAAATAAAAATGGATGTATAGAAACTGCGTTTCAACTACTTAAAAAATTTTTAATGCCAGAAGTACTGCATTTATTACTGACCGTTTCTATATTTCAAATTAATATTATATTTTTTATGTAAAGGATAAGATTCTGAAATTTTTTGACATTGCAATATTTATATCTTTAAAAGTAGGAACTAATTGTAAGATTACAACACACTGAAGATGGCTCGAAATAAAACCGAAACGTCTGTAATTATTATTATTCATATTATATTGATTAAATGTTTGTAAATTAGAAATTTGATAATCGTCTTTGCACTAATTACCGCGCATAAACTTTCATTAGCCCGAGTTGTTTTTATCTTATTTGACTTATATCTTTGTACTAATGAAATATTTCATCACTTCCTTTATTTACATAGTAATTCATTTGCTTGATTCTTTTAGTGAGTAAGAAATATTAATACTTCTAGTGTTAATAAATCGTCATTATCATCGTGAATAACTAAACATCACAGAATCTTTTCTATTCTTGTTTAAAACACATTACATTAAACATATTCCCTAATCTATTTCTGTCATAATCATTATTAATAGAATAATCTTTTACTAATGACTTTTCTTTTTTTTCTCTTTTAGAAAATTTATGGAATCAAGGAGATTATATCTTATCAGCGTTAAAAAAGAAAATAAAAGCGTGTTACTCAAAGCTTGATACGAAAAATATATATATAAAATCACAATCGGTCATTCCCATCGATTCGTAAATCTGAGATTTCCGGGAATGGAACGAGACGCGAGTAGTTCGAGTTGATTTGAGAACCGCGGCAGCCGCGGTAAATCGCCGGTAAGGTCACGCTTTTACGTGTAAGCCCTAAGCGAAATCTAGTTTTTGTTTATTCATTAGGCTACCCCGCGCTTTAAGTGGTACGTGAAGGAAGGCCTCGCCGCAGCAGCGACGTCGGGGGGAGGGGGGGGGGGGGGACGAAACGGGAGAACCGCGGGGAGGGTGGACCGACCGCCATATCACCGATACGCCACCAGCCATAAAAATCTGAATATATTAGGCCTACATGCGCACGACATCTCGCTCGGATCGTGAACACGTTACCCACGATAATCTACGCTCGTTTCCAACACACTTTGCACGTTTATGCGTATACCAGAGACGACTACCGTGCGAACGCGTTACCTTTTCCGTCGTCATCGTCCCGATGCTTCTTTCCTCGCCACCGGTTTTCGACTTGGATTATCCTGTATCAATTAAAGCTTACTTCGTTGGCCACAATTTATCACGACGCCGTCGGTTTGATGGAGGAGTAAAAAATTGAAAAATCCAAGTATGATCACGGAAGGATTTTGCCTGATTTATCGATGTGAAAGAAATTAAGAAGTCCAAGTTGCCTATATTTCTTTAACATTTCTCATTTAATAAATTATATATACATAATCAGGAAGGTTGACTTTTAAGCGTACGCTTTACGTGCGCTTTATCTGCGACAATGTTCAAGGTTAACACTGACGTACTGCGCTTGAGCAACGTTTATTTCATCTTCCATAAATCGTGTCGTACGGAATTATCTCGTTCGTCGATGCGCACCGCCGGGGGGGGGGGGGGGG